ATTTCTGTGTATTTGCACAGTATTCTGTTATAGGATATTCCTAAAAACACTTTCGTTTCACATAACTTCCTCCAAGTTGTCACTACATCACAATCGTACTTACTAGGTCAGCTTTTGATATGTTGCACCCCAATCCCTAGATTGTCTTAAGGCCTCTCAGACCATGCCTACTAAGGCTGGTCTGATAACTTTCTTCACTGCCTCCCTGTTCTTTCTCCTCTTTCTTTAGTTCATGGAATTATTTTCAAGCTACACTTCCCATACCATCACAAACTCCCCCATACTTCAATCACTAGATACATACACCAAACTTAGTCAATGAATAAGGAAAGGATAACTATATTCCCTGGTTGAGGTACAGAATTTTAGATATGAAATAAATATGAAAACATATATATTCATCTTCTAAATGTTTTCAATCCCACTGATAAAGTATACAGTGAAATTAAAGGGAAAAATGAAAAAGGAGGAACATGATAGTTTAGAAGCAAAGCTTTACCATTGCCTGTCCCACAACACAAAAGCTTGTGGCAGGACAAAGATTCCATGACGAAATCGCCATAAGCAATTGCAACAGACGCAAAAATTGACAAATGGGATCTAATTAAAAACTTAAGGGCTTCTGCACAGCAAAATAAACTATCATCAGAGCAAACAGGCCACCTACAAAATGGGAGAAAATTTTTGCAATCTATCCGTCTGACAAAGGTCTAACACCCAGAATCTACAAGGAAATTAAATGAATGTACAAGAAAAAAACAAACCACCCCATCAAAAAGTGGGTAAAGGACATGAACAGACACTTCTCAAAAAAAAGATATTCATGCAGCCAACAAACATGAAAAAAAGCTCAACATCACTGATCATCAGAGAAATGCAAGTCAAAAATCACAATGAGATACCATCTCAGGCCAGTCAGAATGGCAATTATTAAAAAGCCAAGAAACAACAGATGCTGGCGAGGTTGCAGTGAAAGAGGAATGAATGCTTTTACAGTGTTGGTGGGAATGTAAATTAATTCAACCATTGTGGAAGACCGTGTGGCAATTCCTCAAAGACCTAGAACCAGAAATACCATTTGACCCAGCAATCACGTTACTAGGTATATACCCAAAGGAATATAAATCATTCTACTGTAAAGACACATGCACATGTATGTTCACTGCAGCACTATTCACAATAGCAAAGAGATAGAATCAACCCAAACGCCCATCGATGACAGGCTGGATAAAGAAAATGTGCTATATATACACCACAGAATACTATGCAGCCATAAATGAATGAAATCATGTCTTTTGCAGAGATGGATAGAGCTGGAAGCCATTATCCTCAGCAAACTAAGGCAGGCACAGAAAACCAAACACCCCATGTTCTCACTTGTAAGTGGGAACTGAACAATGAGAACACATGGACACAGGGAGGGGAACAACACACACTGGGGCCTGTCAGGGGTAGAGTGAGGGGAAGGAGAGGATTAGGAAAAATAGCTATGCATGCTGAGCTTAATACATAGGTAATGGGTTGACAGGTGCAGCAAACTACCAAGGCACATGTGTACCTATGTAACTAACCTGTACATCCTGCACATGTACCCCTAAACTTAAAATAAATCCCAGCACTTTGAGAGGCCGAGGCAGGCGGATCACAAGGTCAGGAGATCGAGACCATCCTGGCTAACACAGTGAAACCCCGTCTCTAATAAAAATACAAAAATAAATTAGCCAGGCGTGGTGGTGGGCGCCTGTAGTCCCAGCTACTCGGGAGGCTGAGGCAGGAGAATGGCGTGAACCCAGGAGGTGGAGATTGCAGTGAGCCCAGATCATGCCACTGCACTCCAGTCTGGGCGACAGAGCGAGACCCCGTCTCAAAAAATAAATAAATAAAATGAAAATAAATAAATAATTTAAAAATTAAATAAGGCTGGGCAGGATAGCTAACGCCTGTAATCCCAGCACTTTGGGAGGCCGAGGCGGGCGGATCACCTGAGGTCAGGAGTTTGAAACCAGCCTTGCCAACATGGCAAAGCTCCTCTCTACTAAAAATACAAAAATTAGCTGGGCGTGGTGGTACGTGCCTATAATCCCCGCTACTCAGGAGACTGAGGCAGGAGAATCGCTTGAACCCAGGAGGCAGAGAGTGTAGTGAGCTGAGATCGCATCACTGCACTCCAGCCTGGACAACAGAGAGAAAGACTCTGTCTCAAAAAAAAAAAAAAAGAAATGAGAAACACTATCTTAAAACGACATAACTTTTTAGATAACACCAATAAGAATTCACTCACGTTAATATTCCAGAGAAGGACACCTCTATTTAGTGCTCCAATCCCCGAGAAAGAAAAAGAACATGGCATAAAATTGAAGTTTTCTTTTTATAGTGGGTCTGAATTCTAAAGCCCAGATGAGAGAAATATTATAACAAGTTTTGTCTATTAAAGATGAGGTTTCACTGAGAAGGTTTAAAAAAAAGGACTTATTTAAAAAACTGAATTCTCTTAGAGAGCTACACAAAGAGAACACTGTAAGATACTAACACCTAATTACAGTATGTAAAGCTAAACCCATCAACAGCCAAAAGAGAAGAAACGTTCACTCTATCCCTCAGGTTGTTTTTAAAAAACGTTTTATTTAACACAAAGTCACACTAGTTTCTTAAGATTGATTTATGGCCGAGCACGGTGGCCCACGCCTGTAATCCCAGCACTTTGGGAGGCCGAGGTGGGCGGATCACAAGGTCAGGAGATCGAGACCATCCTGGCTAACACAGTGAAACCCCGTCTCTACTAAAAATACAAAAAAATTAGCCGGGCGTGGTAGCAGGCGCCTGTAGTCCCAGCTACTTGGGAGGCTGAGGCAGGAGAATGGCATGAACCCAGGAGGTGGAGCTGGCAGTGAGCCAAGACTGCGCCACTGCACTCCAGCCTGGGTGACAAAGCAAGACTCCATCCCCCCCAAAAAAAAAAAGATTGATTTATAAAAGGAAAAGCTATTTTCTTTCATTAACAAAAAAAGACAAGAAATTGAGAAACAGAGTTCTAAACATTCTAGTTACAAAATACAATAAAATTTACCTTACAAAAGCAGCAAAGGAAGATACTATTCATAGTAACCAGGGAGCATATTCCTGCATTTTTCTGTACACATCATAATGAAAGACAAACGCCGAATTTTAAATTCTTTTCGGACTTCATATATACACTTTGGTATAACCACTATGTTTCATTTAGGATTTACAGGACTGATCAAGAAACTAGACCAAAATCACATCATCCACATATTTATACACAGGCCTTTGAATTACATTTTACAAATTCAGACCTCTGGCTGAGTGTTTAGAAATAAAAGGGCTATTTTAATTTACTTTATCTTGCTTGTTTATTCCAAGTAGCTTTAAGACACTTATCAACAGCTTAAATATCATGTGCTCTGCAAAGTCTTCCTCAGTCTCCTAGATAGCTAATCAACTTCTCTTTTGTGGTACTACAGCATTTTATTTAAAATTTTATCACACAATATTTACTCTTTTTACATGTCCCTGCATTGAAATATCTTCCAGGACAGAAACCAGGTCTTAATCAGTTTTATAGCCTCAGAAGCCAGAGCAGTAACTCAGTAAGTACTTAAAGAATGAATGAACGAGCAAATGAACTAATGAACTAATTAACTACACAAACTACAAACAGAATACAAGAGGTCTAAAGCGTGGTTGTACTGTCCTTCCAGATTCTACAGAAGTGACTGGGAAGAAAAGCACTGCACAAAGACCAAAGGTTTGGAAAAACTGTGGTTTCATTGGTATTTTCAATACTGACATATACAACAAATTCAGTATTTCCACTGTTCACTACCAGCTTTTACTCTTAAAAAAATTAAGTGGCTTCTATTCTCTGCATATTTTTGGTCAACTTGTGTGTTGCAAAGTTGTTTGTGACACACAATTACTCCAAAACTATTATATGTGGGTATTTTTCATTCTTGTGAAAAATGCATATCTTTGACATCTATATAAAGGTTATTTCAATTTGTCACTTTGTGTAGAAAAATTACATAAAACACATTGTGTTATCACAAAATAATTAGAAGAAGTGATGAAAATGTCTTTGAAATTTTAAGTTAGTTGATTCATGGATTTTTTTCTTAAAGAGGATTAACTTCACAAATTTCCTTTAAAACACACGATAACACAATAGTTTGAGTTTCTCCTACCTCTCCTTCAAAATAAATACATATAATCTCCTGAAAAAATGCAAAGTACACTGGAATGAGAATCCAGAGAGCTGTAGTCTTTTCCCACATTAATCATTCAGCCTATAACCTGAGTCAGTAACTTCCAAATCTCCATCTGCTCATGTATAAAGGGGATTAGATGTAATCAGTAATTTTCAAATTGGACTACAGAAGCCTCAGGGATTCTGCATGTTTCAGGGATGGAGGAATACAGGATAATTAAGAATTTGTACTTCTTCAAAAGAGTTCAAAAATTACTACATTATATGATTTGTAAGGATTCTTTAACATCCAGATGCTATTACTCTATTTCTTTATCCTATTCAAAACAGCTATTAGTCTCACATTTTAAATTGGAAAAATAAAATACCAAATATATATACATCCTTCTTAAAAAATCACATAATGTATGCAATGGAAATCACTGTGGTATCTGTTGGTAATAGTTGCCCTATTGTCATGTAACAGCAAATGAAACATGGCCTTCCAGAATCAAAACTAGAAATTATTTTCCCTTTAAGCAAGTCAATTATCCCACTAATGTAATTTTGAATATCATCAGCATTAAAAATATATATTTAGCCAGGCGCGGTGGCTCATGCCTGTAATCCCAGCACTTTGGGAGGCCAAGACGGGCGGATCACGAGGTCAGGAGATCGAGACCATCCTGGCTAACACAGTGAAACCCCGTCTCTACTAAAAAATGCAAAAAAAAAATAAATAAATAAATATATATATATATATATTTAAGGAACTGAATTATTATTTTTAAAATACCTGTACTATAAATTGTAATTCTCTTCTTTCTGCTTCCCATTGTTCTTCTTGTAATCTAAACTCCTCCAACGCTGTCTCCCTGATATGAGACTCCATCTCATTCTTCTCCTGTTGATGTTTTTCCAATGCTTCCTTTATATAAATAAAATTTTGCTTTACTATTAGATCAATAAAAGTTATCTTTCTTCCTTCATCCCCAGTTTAAATGTACAAAGAGGCTCTCCTTACCTATAGATGTTAAAATTCATCATAATTCATGTTAAAATCATTAATAAGGCCGGCGCAGTGGCTCAAGCCTGTAATCGCAGCACTTTGGGAGGCCGAGACGGGCGGATCACGAGGTCAGGAGATCGAGAACATCCTGGCTAACACGGTGAAACCCCGTCTCTACTAAAAAAATACAAAAAAAACTAGCCAGGCAAGGTGGCGGGCGCCTGTAGTCCCAGCTACTCGGGAGGCTGAGGCAGGAGAATGGCGTAAACCCGGGAGGCGGAGGCTGCAGTGAGCTGAGATCTGGCCACTGCACTCCAGCCTGAGCGACAGAGCGAGACTCCATCTCAAAAAAAAAAAAAAAAATCATTAATAAAACTATAATTTGATCATCAGAATGTAGATCTGAGTAAGAAGCTATGGTTATTTAAACAACAGGTTATACCTTGTTTATATAGGCATATATTTACCTATTACCTATATATAAGTACATATAAGCAACAGGCTGTATATACCTGTTTATATAGGCATATATTTTTCTGAAAAATGTAACTTCAGAGGTTTGAACAAAATATCAATATATGATATGATATCATATGATAGATATAAACAAAGTAAATTCCATTTAATATGGAAATAGCTACCTGTGATCAAAATGTCTGGATGATCCCTGATAATTTATATATAAATTTGACATAGAACAATGTATTTCCAAAAGGGAAAAAGGGGCAAAGAAAAGAATTTTGTGCAACAAATTAGGATAAGGAAACTCTAGAATGTTAAAAATGTGAAAAGCAAAAAACAAAAAATTTAAGTACGGGCTGTAATTTCTAGTTCTAAAGATAAATAATACTTGAAAAAAAGCATTTCCTTTTGGGTTTTCCAAGGTGTACTACATTTGCAACATCTAATTTGGTTCAATATCCTAAAAACATAAAATGCAATTTGCTGAGAAGCCCAGTTTTCTAACTACAGGGTTTAAAATCGAGTTCACATTAACAGAAAAAAAAAGTCTATGGTTTACAAGCATGAGAAAGAAAGCCTCTCATGTCCATATGATGGTAGCAGCGATCTGTCTAACAAATATTACCCTCCTGACTTATAGAAAGCTTTCATAAAGAGCCTTGAGGCGTTTTTTCCCCCAAGGGCTAGTGACTCAAATTCAACTCCAAACTGTCCCACGGGTCTCTGTGCAGATTAGTTTAAAGCCAATAGCCTAAAATCAAAGCACAGTTCTCCTAAGTAGCTAACTGAGATCAGATCAAAATCTTCTACCTTGAGGTGCAAGCTGATTGGCTGAAGAAATGCTACCACCATCACCCTCCTCTCCACATAACTCCAAAGCGTGGTATGTGGGGAAGGTTATACAGGCCCATCCAAGGACTTGTAATATCAGCTACCACCAAAACCTCCCCCATTCACACACTAATGCAGCCCTTCTGCATGCCAGCCAGTGTTCCAGGGTCTAGCAATACAGTAGTAAACAAAAGAGACAAACTATGACCACTGATGTGGAAGAAATCAAAAGTAAATTTGCTGACAATGGGAGCGACTGTACGAAAACTTTTACAGTTTGTAAATGCTTTTGTATAATTAACTTTTAGTAAAGACACATTTCCAGAATTCAAAAAACCCATTTACACCATGGTAAAGGTAGAATATTTTTATCACAGTTTTTTTTTCTTTGTTTTGTTTTGTTTTGTTTGTTTTTTGGGGGGAGACAGGGTCTCACTATACTGCTCAGGCTGCAGTACAGTGGCTATTCATAGGCCCAATCATGGTACACCGTGGCCTCAAATTCCTGGCCTCAAGTGATCCTCCCACCTCAACCTCCCTACTAGCTGGAACTACAGGCATGTACCACCATACCTGAGTTTGTCATGTAACTTTTTTTTTTCATTTAAACTGTTACTTCAAAAAAAATGGCAAATATAGACAACTCAAAATCTACCTTTAAAGTCACTGGCAACTTCAACCTTATACCACTTTTACTTTAGGGAGTAAAAAGGGAACAAAAAAATGAGGGAATAAATAGCTCACAATTTTAGTAAAAGTTAAACATGTTACATATCATGTCTATACAGAACATGCTCTATATAGATAATGAAGCTCATATAAACACACAAATATTTTTCTATATTTATTGTATATTCAGACCAAAATCCAGTGCCCATGTTTCTAAAATTTCAAATTTTCATGTCGCTAGACAAAAGGCTGTAGATTCTTACCTTCTTACAATATGCCCATATAAGTGCTTTGTTGGCTTTTAACATTTGATTAGTGACCACAAGCCATTTTTTACCCCAAAAAGTATACCTATTAATATACTAAGAAAGCGATCAGCAAAAATGCCCCTAAAAAAGAAAAAAATGGGAGGAAGGAAGGAAGGAGGAAGGAAAAAGGAAGGAAGGAAAGCCAGTATAACTTCAAGTAATGTACAACACATCTCGGTGAGTATTACATATAGGAAAAATCCTTTATAAAAACTATTTTACCTGTAGAGTTTTCTCTAGTCTGCTTTTTTCTTTCATAAGTAAATCATATTCTCGATTGCAATTTTGGATCATATTGTCTCTTTCCTCCAAATCATGTTCAAACCTTCTGCATTCTTCTTTCCATTTTTGCTGAGAAGTCTGAAATGCTTCCTCAATTTCATTTGTCTTTGCTTGAAATTCTGAATTTTGTGCTATTAAGAATAGAATAACAGGTACATTTACAACCATGAATTAAATAAGAAGGAGCCCCAAAACCTAGGCATTGGAGTTGACATCATTTACAGCATGATCTTAGGATAAAACAATTAACCTTTCCATTACAGTAAACTCTTGAAAACCTTTCCAGTCCAGTAAACTCTTGAAAAGTTCACAGTCTCTAAACCAATCTATTCTACAATTTTTCAGTCTCTTCTTCCCCTTCAGACAATGATGATTTTGCTATGAAACAGTGTGACATATTTCTGATGGCATGTCCAAGTTTAGGTGCACTTCTAGCACCGGCTGCAACTCTATTGGTTTTTGTCCTATTCAAGAAAACAAACCAGCTGAGTGTGGTGGGGCACACCTGTAATCCCAGCTACTCTGAAGGCTGAGGTGGGAGGATCACTTGGGCCTAGGAGTTGGGAGACCTCCTCTCAGATTTTTTTTTAAAAAAGAAAAGAAAAGAAAAAGGAGAAGAAGAAGACAGAAAAATCAATTTTTAAGACTGCAATATATAGGGCAAGTTTTTAAAAACAGTAGATTACAAATTTTGATATTTGACTATTGACAACAAACTAGTTGTGGCACATCTTACACAAGCGTCACAAAGCTGAGGCTGGAAACCACTGCCCCAGCTCTTAGAACTGTAGCTACTTACTTTGCCAGATGTAGGTGCAACTCACCTCTTACCCTATTACCTCAACAATAACCAACACCTATCAACACACTACCACTGCTGCTCTGTTTCAGCACCTAGAAAAGAAGGAAATGCTTCCAGGTCTGGCTCTATCACCTGCCACCTGATTAAACCTCTGTGATTCTCTTGAGTCTCACTAGGAATAAGAATGTCCCTAGTTAAGTTTTTGTGAAGATAAAATGAGGAAATGTTTATAAAAACGTGTTAAAAAATGTAGCCACAGCTACATTAGCAGTAGTATTTCTAAATTATATTTACTTGCATTATGAATGAATCATATATTCAAAACATTCAAAATACAAAGGTATAAAAGGTGCAAAAGGAAATACATTAAAAGTCCCCACCCATTCAGCTGCCATCCCCAGAAGACATTCTTCCATGGTCTCTCATCCAGCATTGCAGGAAAGTAGTTTGAGGCCATTTTGACTCCTGATCCTTTGCATTTGACCTCTTTTTCTTTTCTCTTGAAAGCTTTAGAATCTTCTCTTTGTCTTTATTTTTCTGAAATTTCGTAATGCTATGCCTTCAGTAGGTCTACTTCTTTCCATACGGTAAATATTCGATAGGCTCTTTCAATCTGGCAATTTATATCCTTTAGTTCTGAGATGTTATCTTGAGTAATTTCATTGATGATTTATCATACATTTTTGTTTCCTCTCTTACCTCTTTCACTATTCCCTATTATTCAAATTGGTTCTCAAATTTTTTCATCTCTTCTCTCCTATTTTTCTACCTCTGTCTTTTTAATTTCTGGGAGGTTTCTTCCATCTTCATCTTCCATTGCTTCTAGGGACATTTTTCATTTCTGCCTTCACATTTTTAATTTGTTAATTTTTTTCAAGCCAAACTGTATCCAATTTTATTAATTATATTTTTCACAAATAATAACAGTATTGCAGGCAGGTATTTCAGTTAACAGTATACAACTTTTAAACTCCCTCCCCTTCAAAGGACTACCAAAATCAGAAAGCCACTATAAACCCAATGAAGTCCTCATTTGATGTTCTGAACAGGGAAAGTTTAGAGTGGGGGTTGACATTTCACATTAACATGTTGTTTAACAACTTTTCACCAGCCGACTCTGACTTTTAGGAAGTGAAATGAAAATGGCAGAATTTATCTAAAGATCTACAATCTAAAAACAGAAGCACTGCTATTTTGAGGCATGCCATCTCAGTGGTGTCACTGGAAAGTCCAGATTGCCTGATACACTGACAACCAATTACCGGGAGTCAATCCCAAGAGATGTACGGGCTTAAGGGAGTTAAGTCTATGCTGAAGGTGGAAGGGAGAAGAGGACATAAAAACAAATTTGTTTTTCCACACCACGAGGTGTTTGTGCCAAGGTGACTACGTGTGTCAACATCAGGGAATCTCTCCTCCTGGGAGCCAAGAGGAAGTCTCTCAAAACTAGAAGGGAAAGGTGTTTTCCCCACATCAATCCACTTCGGAAACATTCTATTAGTAACACAAGTCCCTTCCTCAAAAAACGACGTGTTCTGTGGGGCAACAACATAGCTTTAAACAAAAAAATACAACAAAGCCTGCATTTTCATAAAACTTGGTTGAAAAATATTTCAAACTGTATAGTCACCAAAAGTACACAGTTATCAAAAATGCACACATTTCACTTGGCGTTTCCAGCACCCTGAGCTTTCTGTGCCTGGTCTGTTTTGGCATCCCCATTTCCTGCAGGATTCTTCCCCTCCTTGTAAGTGTCAGCTTTTCCCTTTGGGTACCTTTTCTCCCTTCTTTGCAGGGGAAAAGAAGACTTTTTAGGCTTGGGCTCTGGCTTTAAAGGAGCAGGTTTAGCAGACAACCTTGCAGATCTTCTCTGTAGCTTGGCTTTATCTCCTGTAGCATCCTCTTCAGACTTTCTCTTGGGCATGGTGGCAATGCCAGTAAGACGTAGCACCAGATGCAGAGATGTAATGGCGTGTGGGCTTTGGTCAGTCTGAGAGTCCTTCTTGCCTCTTCTTCATACTGCTTCCATATTTTTAATTTCTTTTTTTTTTTTTTTTTTTTTTTTTTTTTGAGACAGAGTCTCACTCTGTCACCCAGGCTGGAGTAGAGTGGCACAATCTCAGCTCACTGCAACCTCTGCCACCCAGATTCAAGCGATTCTCCCGCCTCAGTCTCCCGAGTAGCTGGGATTACAGGCACTTGCCATCGTGCCCAGCTAATTTTTGTATTTTTAGTAGAGACAGAGTTTCACCATGTCGGTCAGGCTGGTCTTGAACTCCTGACCTTGTGATCCACCCGCCTCAGCCTCCCAAACTGCTGGGATTATAGGCGTGAGCCACCGCGCCTGGCCTCATATTTTTAATTTCTAAGAGTTTTCATTTTTTATAACATCTGGTTCCTACTTTATAGATGAAATACATTCTTTCAGCTCTGAAGAAATTAATGCTACTTGTTTTAAATGTTCTCCCTGCAGAGCCTCTGTTTCTTCTAAGTTGATTTCTTCTCTCCATTTTAGAGGGTTTCCTCATATATCTGATAACTTGGTTGTCTACTCTCATTAAAAGTGAGAAACTAGGCCAGGCACGGTGGTTCACACCTGTAATCCCAGCACTTTGGGAGGCCGAGGCGGGTGGATCACTTGGGGTCAGGAGTTCAAGACCAGCCAGCCTGGCCAACATGGTGAAACCCCGTCTCTACTAAAATACAAAAATTAGCTGGGCGTGGTGGTGTATGCCTGTAATCCCAGCTACTCGGGAGGCTTAGGCAGGAGAATCCATTGAACTAGGGAGGCAGAGGTTGCAGTGAGCCAAGATCACGCCACTGTACTCCAGTCTGTGAGTGAGACTCCCTCTCAAAAAAAAAAAAAAAAAATGAGAAACTATAAATGTAGTACAGTTTATACATTAATATACCCACCACCTAGAATCTGAGCTTCAAGGTAGAAGTTAACAACTTTCGTCTTCACTGGAGAAGGATCTGGATGGCTCATTTATTGGGAAACCTCCAACATCAGTATCATTAGGTTTTTCCTCCTGGCTTTGTATTAGTCCGTTTTTTTTTTACAAAGACATGCCCTACACTAGGCAATTTACAAAAGAAAGAGGTTTATTGGACTTGCAGTTTCATGTGGCTGGGGAGGCCTCACAATCATGGCAGAAGGCAAGGAGAAGCAAGTCATATCTTATGTGCATGGCAGCAGGCAAAAAGAGAGCTTGTATAGAGAAACACCCATTTTTAAAACCATCAGATCTCATGAGACCCACATCACAAGAACAGCATGGGAAAGACTCGCCCCGATGATTCAATCATCTCCCACTGGGTCCCTCCCATAACACGTGGGAATTATAAGAGCTACAAGGTGAGATTTGGGAGGGGACACACAGCCAAACTATATCAGCTTGGTCAGGTGATACACAGAAGAGTCCTCCAACATCTGGCATAGAGTGTAGAAATGCAAGTGTTAGCTTTTGGGGAACTCAGTATACAAAGGAAGTTGGGGGCTGAGCATGGTGGCTCATACGTGTAATCCCAGCACTTTGGGAGGCCAAGGTGGGAGGATTGCTTGTGGCCAAGGGTTTGACACCAGCCTGGTCAACATGGCAAGACTCAGTCTCTACCAAAAAAAAAATTTTTAATTAGTCAAGTGTGGTGGCATACACCTATAGTCCTGGCTACTCAGGAGGTTGAGGTGGGAGGATGGCTTAAGCCCAGGAGTTCAAGGCTGCACTGAGCTATGATCACACCACTGCCCTCCAGCCTGGGCAACAAAGTGAGACTCTATCTCTAAAAAATAATAATAAATTAATTAATTAAAGGGAAGCTGGAAGGAATGGCTCCTCAATATTCAGCATTCAGAATCTTCCTGGTTTTGCCAGTCAAAAGACTCTCTATTTTGCCATCTCCAGGGATTAAACCTCTTGATTTCCACTAGTAATTCTTAAGTAATCTCAGAATAGCATGCTCTTGGAAGGAAATCTAAGGACCCATCTGCCTCTCAAACGGCTTTCATCTAAACCTCCTTATTTTACTCACTACTGCTACTCCCATACATAATTCCAATGGTATCTGGTGCTTAAGCCTTTTGACTAAGAATTTCTCTTTCAGCTTTCCCCACTCTGGACTTAGGATTTTAATGTCTCTCTGACTCAGTTATTCCTCATCCATTCGCTTTCCAGCTTCCAAAATTTTCTCCCTTGTCACACCCCCTATTCTCTCCACTGCTATGGGATTATCTCATAACTGCATTAGGCTTTTTATACTACCCTCAACACTTCATTACAAAAATTTTAAAACCAGGGAAAGTTGAAAGTATTGTGCAGTGAACATCCATATATCCACAACCTGGACTCGAGGATTGTTAACATTTTGCCTTATTTGCTTTATCAGATATTCATTCATCCATCAATGTTTGCATTCATTTATCCATCCATCAGTCCATCATATATTTTATGCACTTCAAAGCAAGTTGCAAACATCAGTACATTTCACTCCTAAATAGTTCAGCATGTATATCATTAATTAGAATTTAGTATAGTTTAATATAGAGCCTGGAATACATGTTTAAGACAAACAAACAAAAATCCCTTTGTGATTCTGTTGATTATTCATGGAAGAAGTGCTTCTAAAAAGTGACTAACAGAATTTTGAACTCCTTTTTCCATATATGCACAGCATAAAAATATTAATGTAAAGTAGATAAATGTTCCCCAAAATTGCCAGAAGACTTTTTATATGTACCCAGCTAAGTCTGTACATCAAAAGTCAGTCAATGAATCAAAACCTTACCTCTGACCCTATATGGGATATACACACAACAGTGAGGAGTAATACACAACAATCAGGTTACAACCCTAAACATGGGAAGAAATAGAAACAGTCTTACCACAGAGCTTTTCTTGGATCCTATGTGCCTCGGCTAATCTTTCTTCAGCAGCCCGTCTTCCAAGACCAGCTTCCTTTCTAGCAACAGCTAGGTCATATTCCAGACTTTGTCGCAATGCTTCCCCCTTTTCAACCTCGGACCGTAGCTTGGCAATCTGGCTCTCATAGCTTGCCAGCTAAAAACAAATTCCTGACATCAACATGTGTCCAAAGATTATGAAAGCATACATTCAAACATTTAAGTTTCTTAGAGAAACTTGTTTCCATAATATATACAAGGCAAAAATTCAAAAATTTATATGTTCTGAATCACCAGAAAGGAAGCACTGTCTTACAAAATGACACTCATTATGTTTTTTACTTTAGAGAATCCACTAGAGGAAAAAAAACAAAAAAAGTCTTACAAGAACTTTTTATAAAATTAAAGATAAATTACATGTTTTAATCAGAAATAGTCACACCTTGGCCAGACATGGTGGCTCACTTCTGTAATCCCAGCACTTTGGGAGGCCAAGGCAAGAGGATCACTTAAGCCCAGAAGTTCAAGACCAGCCAGGGCCACATGGGGAGACTCTGTCTCTATAAAAATAATAATACAAAAATTAATCAGGCATGGTGGTGTGTGCCTGTAGTCCCAGCTACTCAGGAGGCTGAGATGGAAGGATTGCTTGTGTCTGGGAGGCAGAGGTTGCAGTGAACAGAGACCACGCCACTGCACTCCATCCTGAAGGACAGAGCAAGACTGTCTCAAAAAAAAAAGAAAAGAAAATATTCATACCTAAAAAAAAAAAATGCATGATACATACTAAGCACTTAAAAATTCATTCTTTCCTTTCCTCCTTCTATTCCCTAAATGAAACCAATAAATAAATTGTATCAAAGTAGTTTAATATTGTCTGTATTATTTCTCTTGATTATGATACTGATCATAAAGTAATAAAAGTGCCAATTTTGCAGGGATTTAAATGAACGAATATCGAATTTGTGATCCTTCTGAAGTAGCATGACAGAAGGTCAGAGACAACCGGCTTCTCAATAGGCTTGATCAATGAGAGGCACATGTGGAGTGACTGACAGCAGGGGAAGTGAAAATGCCAAGATACTTCTGCCTTTCTAGATCTACCTCGAGTAGTTATCCCTCTCTTGTCTGTGGCTGCAAATCCTTATGGACAATCCCTCCCTCCATGGGCCTTGCTTTGTCCAGTTCTAGCTCTAATCAACCTTGGGAATAGAAGCAGTTCTTAATGTTGTTGGGTTGTCTTAATCTCCTCTAGTTGTCTTTTCCACTTTTCTAGTACCTGTGTAATCAATACCCGCTACTAATGTCCCTTTGTTGTAAGACTTAGAATGGTTTCTGTTTTCCTAACTGAATACCCAGTAATATTGCTCTTGGTATCAGAAATTGTCTCAAGATGGGTTTATAATATTGAGTGTCTAACATATTTAAGCGTGAACACAGTGAAAGCCTCTTTGCAGGCAGAAATGGGACTCTAGTGATCTAGAGCATACAGTGGGATCACAGTTCTTTAAATTACGGTGTGCAGTTGTTTAGGATGAAGTGCCAGTTGAAAACAAGCCTTTGGAAAATGAAGTAATGAATGCACTTAACTATGATGCCAGTATTGATTTACTATAAGACCTGAGGGGTAGAAAGGCTAAATTTCACTATACTAGAGAATTTACAAAAACAAAATGATAATCTCAGAGCTTTAGAATCTCAGTTAAAGACAGTCAGAAAACCAGAGTTTTTACGGTGACTTTAAAATAATTGCTTATTTAGTATAGCCCCAGGGCAGATAAGGTTATGAACAAACCTGAAAATCTAATTATGGGAAATGCAAAATTACAAGTTCAGTGAAGAGTTTCACCAAGTTTCTACTGTTAAGATGGTATCAGCTGGATATTAAGTAGGAAGAACATAGGATGAGGACTTTCAGAATTGAACAAACCTAAAAACTATGAACTCTCAAATCCCCCCTGAACATTCCTTACCAAAAAAAAAGGAGCCTCTCCTCTCTGACTAAGTTAACCAGCTTTTCCTTGCTGAAAGATTTAGTAACGACCACACCTGAAGCAGCTGCCTTGCAGGAATATTTGCAAGAGCCACCTACATTGCTCTGTTCACCACAGATTGACTCAGATCTCAGTATGCTACAGAAGGAAAAATGCAGTCTGCTCCAGGAGGAAATAGCTTATATAGCAGAAGAACTGAAAGCTCTTGCTAATCTACTTTTCACAGGAACTTGGAGAACATGTACAAGATCGATTTCGTAAGTTAACTCTAACAGTTCTGCTTGGATGGTTGACTGAAAATTGAATTCGACATCGGCCTACAATCATTTCATAAGGTCAAAATACCAGTACTTTCCTGGCATAATACAGACTTAAGAACATGGGAGTGGTTTTGTGCAAACCAAAGCCTCCCCTTTCCTTGACTACATCGTCTTCGAGGGCACAATGTACATTACTTAAAATTAAAATGCTGGCCAGGTGCGGTAGATCACTCCTGCAATCCCAGCACTTTGACAGGCTGATAAGAGAGGGTTGCTTGAGGATAGGAGTTTGAGACCAACCTGAGCAACAGAGCAAGACCCCATGTCTACAAATAATAATAATAATAATAATAAATTAGCCAGCTGTGATGGCACACACCTATACTCCTAGTTACTTGGGAGGCTGCAGCATAAAATCACTTGAGCCCAGGAGTTCCAGGCTGTAGGGAGCTATGATCACATCACTGCATGCAAGCCTGGGCAACAAAGCAAGACCCTGTCTCTAAAAGAAAAGATTTAAAACAACAAATATACATACATGTATACATACACACACACACAAAATAACTGAAATATGATACATGATATGTAGCTATAATTTTTTTTTTTTTGAGACAGAGTCTTGCTCTGTCACGCAAGCTGGAGTGCAGTGGCATGATCTCGGCTCACTGCAACCTCCACCTCCCAGGTTCAACAGATTCTCCCACCTCAGCCACCCAAATAGCTGGGAGTATAAGCGTGCACCACCACGCCCAGCTAATTTTTGTAGTTTTAGTAGAGACAGGATTTCGCCATGTTGACCAGGCTGGTCTCGAACTCCTGACTTCAAGTGATTCGCCCACCTCAGCCTCCTCAAGCGCTGGGATTACAGGGGTGAGCCATGGCACCCATCCTGTAGCTGTAATTTCTAAAATGTGGTATGCATCTGTGATTTCTGTTGATGATACTCAAAAGTATTGCTAACACTACTATGACTTGTTAAAAGGAGGACTGGCTGGGTCAAGCCCTTCAGAACTGAAGGAAATCCTTAATATCAGTTAGAGGTCAATAAAAATAAAATTATAAGCTTTCCCCATCTAAATTCACAGATTCCCAGATTTCTCTTTTTGAGGACTCCAGCTTAAGAATCCCTGCTCTTAAGAGTACTGGCTGGGTCAGACAGTATCTTCAGGCCATAAAGCCTACCGATTAGTCCTAAGTTTCCAGTATTTTTTGGCTAAAAGAAGTTATGTCAGCCGGGTACAGTGGCTCACACCTGTTGTCCCAGCACTTTGGGAAGCCAAGGCAGGTGGATCACTTGAGCCCAGAAGTTCAAGACCAGCCTGGACAACATGGCAAAACCACGCCTCTATAAAAATACAAAAAACTAGTCAAGCATGGTGGCACATGCATGCCTGTAGTCCCAGCTCCTCAGGAGGTTGAGGTAGGAGATGACTTGAGTCCAGGAGGTTGACGCTGCAGTGAGCCAAGATGACACCACTGCACTCCAACCTGGGTGACAGAGCGAGACCCTGTTTCAAAAAAAAACACACAGACACACAGACACACAGACACACACACAAAGAAGTTATGTCACTCTTTACCCTCTCCCTTTCTCATTTATCTGGATTTTCTTGCACTGTCATCACTATCTGGGCCAATGAGATATGTGAATAGCCTCACAGTCTTCTTGTCCTATTTTCCACAACTTTATTGTTATGCTCAAATGATTCTAAAAACCACTGCAACAATGAAAACTTTATACTATTTTCTTATCCTAATCATGTACATCAATGCAACTTCATCTCATCTGGATCCTACGAGTCTATAAGCAATTCTTCTTTCCATACCCTCTGTGTACTAATAAATCCTTTCAACAGTAATCTATTATTCAAATACCTATCAAAGAAAACTGTAGTTCAGAAAAATGAAGTAACTTGCCTAAAATCCCCCAACAATAAAACTCCTAGAGGAGTCTTTAAATATATTTTGTGCCAATCACCATGCATGATTTGTGTTCACATTAGGAATACATGATAAGGCATACATGGCCTTAGTTTTTAGATCACTGCATTCCTCTCTGCCTTGCTTCCTGATGGGTATACTTGAAGATTGTATGGCTAAAAAATTTAACTACATAATACAAGTATGATCATCTACAGAAATAATTGAAGGCCAGGCACAGTGGCTCACTGGCTCATACCTGGAATCCCAGCACTTTGGGAGGTCAAGGCAGGTGGCTCACTTGAGATCAGGAGTTTGAGACCAGCCTGGCCAACAGGGTAAAACCCCGTCTTCACTAAAAATACAAAAATTTGTCTGGGCGCGGTGGCTCACACCTATAATCCCAGTACTTTGGGAGGTCAAGACAGGTGGATCACAAGGTCGGGAGTTTGAGACCAGCCTGCTCAAGATGGTAAAACCCCGTCTTTACTAAAAATACAAAAATTAGCCAGGCGCAGTGGCAGGCACCTGTAATCCCAGCTACTTGGGAGGCTGAGGCAGAAGAATAGCTTGAATCTGGGAGGCAGAGGTTGCAGTGAGCCAAGACAGCACCATTGTACTCCAGCCTGGACAACAGACTGAGTGAGACTCTGTCTAAAAAAAAAAAAAAAAAAAAAAAAGAAAAGAAAAGAAATAATTGAAAATAATAATAATTACTAATATAAATCTGGAGTTGAACCAATTATAATTTCCTGTTTTAAGAAAATTGTCTTCCTTCCCTAAGATAATTTCCTACCTCTTTAATGTGAACATATACTTCAAAACATTTTGATCAAATAAAAGAGAACAGTGTGTTCTGCTGAGAAATCTAATGACAACCATAAACATATTATGAAAGAATATATTTATTTTTATTTTATTTTTGTAGATACAGGGTCTCACTCTGTTGCCCAGGCTGGTTTCAAACTCCTAGGTGCAAACAATCCTCTTGCCTTGGCCTCCCAAAGTGCTGGGATTACAGGCATGAGCCACCATGTGAAAGAATTTATTTAATAGAAGAATGATTATCATCATACTAATACTCTCAAGTAACATGTACATTTGGTTTTTTTTTTTTTTTTTTTTTTTTTTTTTTGAGACGGAGTCTTGCTCTGTAGCCCGGGCTGGACTGCAGTGGCCGGATCTCAGCTCACTGCAAGCTCCGCCTCCCGGGTTTATGCCATTCTCCTGCCTCAGCCTCCGGAGTAGCTGGGACTACAGGCGCCCGCCACCTCGCCCGGCTAGTTTTTTTTTGTATTTTTAGT